TATAATTTGTTCTATGCCGTTTCTTCCTGATTGTCTTCCAGCTACTCTTCTATCAGACTGATGTGTAGGAGCAGGGGTTGATTTTCCATTGGAGATAAAGTCTTGATCTAACAGAGAATCTCTGATTAATTGTAACCTTGGTTTTAGTCCCTTCAGAAATCTTTAACTATCAGTGATTCCACACTAGCAGGGCTGCTTCTAAAGGTAAATTGTAGGATGTAGACTGGTATGTCTTAAATAAATATCTTAATTTGACAACAACATGACATTTATAAAGAGCGGAGCAAAGTGATAGTCATTTAAGAACCAAGAGTTCACATGTTCTGTGTGTTTTCTGAGAAGAACATGCCAATAAAGTATGCAAAGTGGGATTTAGGTGTGCGTGGTTAAAAGTACATAAATAGGTTTAAAATGGTGTTAAACCCGTGTGACATTTTGTGCAAGGGTGTGATTATGCAGGTATGATAATGATGCTTTTGAGCATTGTTAGTGTCTGACGCTTGCTTGGTTTGTTTAACTAATTAAATAATTAATCATTTCATTACCTATTCATTTATTTGTTCGTATATTTACCCGCTTCATCAGTCACTCATTGAATCACGTAATGTGTTACAAAGCCTTGAATATCACCATATGTTAATTATATTTTTCGGTCAGGTGACAGTTCACAGCTATGAAACATTAGTATTATTTTTGTTACACTATTATTATTCATAACTCCTGCTGCATTTGGCTATTTTTTCATCGAGGCAAGTGTCTGTCTGACAAAGAGTCCCATCTGCAGACAGTAAAATTTCTAAATGTTAATCTCTAAGTACTTTTAATGGCCCTTAAGTACAAAATGGACCTCATTATATTTGAGTAAAGGGTCATGCATACATTACTTATCTGGTATCTTTTATTTGAAAAGAGTGGCTTTAATACAAAAGCTGCTCTTCAACAAATATTCAAACATGCGCCACTACACGGTCAAGCAGATGGATCGGTGAGCAGTTCAAGCGACTAAGTTATGAAGTAAATAAGAAAGTGATTGACAACTGCAGAGTCTCTGATATACGAAGGGAATCCCAAAAGCAAGGTCTTCGTTAGAAAATCACTCTGTTTACTTTCTATAATATCTACATGATTTTTAAGGCTGAAGAATTATTTTCTTTTCTACATAATCACCATTTCGGTCGAAGCATTTTTGTAGATGCTGTGGCAGTTTTAGAATGCCCATGTCATACCAGCTTGCTGCCATGTCCTTCAGTAAGCATTGAACGTCATCTTTGACCTCTTCGTCGGAGCAGAATCGCCTTCCAGACAAATGCTCTTTCAACTTAGGGAACAAACATTTTTGACATCTATGCATGAGTGTCCATACACTTCTGTCAAGTGGCGATGAATTTCAACTGGTTTAACACCTTTGGCATTCTCAAATAACTGCGCGAACTTTGCACTTGGTGGTAGCGTTCAACGGGAGCTCCATTTTCAAGGGCTGCCGAGCCAAGATTGAGCATCCCAGCGAAGCCATGCATGCTTGTTTGGAGGAAGCACCGATCACAACAGTGTGGCCAACAGCCATACGAACAGTTTCTCTATGTTCCCACTGCTTTGGAGACCTTACTTTTGGGATTGCCCTCATATTCAGTTTGTATATATTCGGGCACTTTAAAAAAACTGACAAATTTATGTAGGGGTTTAATGAAAATAGAACATAAACTTAGCATAACAAAGCAGGTTTCTACTAACTGCAGTTGTGTATTGCACCTCAAGGAGAAAAAAAAGTTGTTGTGCTTGGATATAGTGTACATGGTTGCTCCTTCTTCCTGTCTGTGCGCTCAATGAAAAAAAAATGCAGTGTTTTCTTTTTCATTCTGATGTGCACTGATGTGCGTGCTGAGATCAGTGTATAGAAATGCACAACATATACTCACATCCACATGTGCGCACACAGTACTGCCAGGCCTGGTTTCCTCTGTGAAGTTTCGAAATGTGTTTTTCATCATGGTAACAAGAATACGTACAGGCCGTAGCAACAGTTACTGTATGAGTTTGCCCACAGAATTGGTATTTTTAGCTATTGAAACATCATATTTTCCAAATATATTATATCTAAAAGTTAATACAAGTAATTTTACTTCTTTCTTCTGAGCATCACGGGGCTGTTTCGTTTTAATGTGGTCTTGGCTGTAATGTTTTAGTCTATTCTGTTGCCTTGTAAAGCAAAATGCAACAATGTAGTCTTGGTCACGCATAGATTCAGCCTAACTTTAACACTGTTATCTTTTCTACCAGAATATGTGTGATTCTAAAAGCTGCACATCTTTCTTTTCTCTGTTCTCTTCTGCTAAATTTGATCTGATCTCATTGTCTTTTCAAGCCCATCCCTTCTTTAAGTTCAGTTCTAGTTTTCTTTCATATGATTTGCTTTTCTCTTTGATGGCTCTGCTGTGTTGATCGTTTCTGTTCTGTTCTGTTACTGTTACTTTCTGTTACTTTCCTGTTATTTGCTACATTTTTAGTATCTCTGCATCAGGTGCAATGAGTGACAGTTATTGGTCTGGTGTCAGTGGTTCAGGCTTAGGCGTTACCTCTGTTTAAGGCTGATCTCATTTCCTGCACACTTCCTCTGTGGGGTTAACGGCTGGCAGACTTGTGCACATCCTGGCTGAGGTACATAAGAGGGAAAAAAACAGTCATGGCAGCTAACAAGTGGAAAAAGATACATTCCAGCAATTAATTGGACATTGCAGTCATAATATACTATTACACACTTAATTGTCTCTTACAATTATTTAAGCCTGAAAATATGTACTGGTGACATTTTTTTAATTAATTAATAAATTGCAATTACGTAGTGAGAGGTATTGACCAACAAAACATAAAACTTCAATAAAATCATTCCGGTTTTGGAATAAATTCATGTGATAGGGTAAATATAGCTGTTTCCCTACTTATTTTATTTGATAATTATTTGATGTCAAGCATGTAATTTAAACATTAGTGAGTTTTGTCCTCAAATAGTTTCATTCTTGGCCTGAAACTGTGAAACAAGGACAGCAATTCAACTGACACCTTGCGTGCAGTTAAACATGCATGCTTGTACGTGTGTTCATCTGATAAGTCGGCTGTTTCTCGGCTCTTTACCAAATTAAATTAAAGTTTAAAGCACAGCTCGTGTTTCAAATACCAGTTTGCATGAATGAGGACACAGATGAAAGCTAACTTAAATTATGTCCATAACTTCCTAAGTATCTAATGAATTTATTTTAGTTTTTCTTAAATAGATACTGTGTAACACTACTGAATATTCAATGAGGTACCGTTCAATGGTACAGTGTGATATACCATTTGGACCGTAATGATAGTCCCAAAGTCTTTGTTTTTCCTGTCTGGCAGACAGACTAGGGGCCTTGAGCAGAAGAAGAGGAAGTGCAATAAACTGTAGGTGGAAAATATGGTGGGTGAACAAGTGAGGCGGGGGGTCGCATGTGACGAGGGAAGCTGGTGTTAGTAACCGCATGCAAAGATAGAAGGAGAAAGATAGGCCGGCCTCGAAGTTCGTCCCTAAGCGAACCCTGCTCTGGTATTTCACATGCTCTATGCTGGCTGAAAATGGACATTCTTATATAAAAAACACTTTTTTTTCTACTCTTTAGCCATGGCAGTGGAGTTATGGGACAGGATGATGTAGCTAAAGAACCTCTAAAGAACTTCTGGATGGATTGACATAAAATTGTGCGTTGAGTTGCCATGGCGCTGCGCTGAGTAGGAGCCTGCTGCAGCATTTTATAGTATAGCGATTTTTGACTTCATATTTGGTACTGCGATATGAACTTGTTGTTTTTATATTGGCCCTATGAGGATAAAGAACTGGTCAATAAGCATATTGTAAAAGCAAGCCTACGCCTAGGTTTCCCTACCCTATGAGTTAAAAGTCACCTCCGATCAAACTCAAATCAAATTACAGACGTGAGATATTTTTCATCTAAAGTCACCACCATCATTATCGCAGCATACTGAACGAGCTGCTGGACTCTAAACTATTTAAAGAGCTTTAAGATGCAGATGTGGAAGGAAAAATAATTACCTCTCTTCTCTCTTTTCTCTCTGAAAGCAGAGGAAGAGGCACTTGGTTCTGTACCTCTGAGCATTCCCAGACTGCTGGTATTCTCATATGAAAAGTAAAGCTTCATATTTTCACAAGTCTCCTGAGTGATCATTAAAGTTCTTTATGTTATTTTAGATTTTTTTCTCAAAACAATGCAATATTCATTGATAATCTATGTTGTGACGATGAAAGTGGAAGTCTTTAGATGTTTTGCAGTGCTGGACATACTTCTCCAGAGTTTTACATATTGTATGAATAGATGTTCTTAATGTAGTATTTGTTCCCTTGTGGTTAAATTGTAAAAGCTACTTCTTGAGAGTTAAAATGCACATATATAGAGAGTATATATGTGAATACACTGTTGTGTTGGAACTTTTCCTAGATACACTGTTCAACAAAGAATTTGCAATGTAAAGATATAAAGAGGGAATTTTGTCACCTTTCACCTGTGTGTGTGTGTGCATGTGGATTGTCACTTGCCGAGTGCATGTTATTACATGTGAGTCGCTCCCTTTGAAACTACTTTCTCTTCAGATCAGTGTAAGGGCAGACAAACACACATGTGCACACACGCACAAAAACACAGGCGTGCGCACAGAGACAGAAACAATAGTGACTTTCATCCCAGTAAGGGACTCGACATCAACGGGCTTTTAGCATGTTTTACCAGACTAGCACAGGTTAGTGGCTATGATTGTTGTGACATCCACCACTTCTGAATGTTTCACATAAAATCCACAGTGATGTTCCTATAGCATACAGGAAATGCCACACTGAGGCCCTTTTCCCTTTTAATTACAGGCCCTTGTGCAGACATTGTTTTTTTTTAAAAACAGATTTACAAAAAAGCATTTAAAAAGTGCTTTCATTGGTTTTTTTTCTTTATTTCCATACAACATATTAATAACACAAAAACAGATTGTTATCAAACTTTATTTTGCAGTCAGAGATACAATGAGCTGCGAAATGTAACTCTTACAGATGTGATTGCATATTCCCAGCTTCTAACTTGAACCGCTACATGATACCCGTATTTTTAAAATCAAATTCTAGCAGTTTAAGGCGATGACAAACAGCTATATATGAGGACTTTTAGTGATGCAAATGCTCAAAATGTTTCACAAAAGTTAATATTTATCACTGGCTGCTTTCATTCTTGTTTTTTCCATCGTGCTGTCCTCTTTAACCTCACCCGTCTTCTTCAGTTTCCTGTAAGCTTCTGTGTAGATCTGCACTGTGCAAACACATACATAAGAAACAGATATAAGAATTTTTAATTTTATGCATTTAGTCTTTATGGATAAAAGTTTCAATTAATTCAAAAGGGTAAAAGAAGGCGAATATCTTCTTCTTCTCTCCCTTTAGTGGTTGCCACTTTCTCACCACTGAAAATCTTAGGAATACAATTCTGCTGCCGCCTCCTGTTTTCTCAGTGACACGGTCTCCAAATCATACATCATAGCAAGTCTCACTAATATCTTGTAAATCTTCCCTTTCACTCTGGCTGCTGTCTTTCTGTCACAAATCACAGCAAACACTCGTCTCCACCCACCCCACCCTGCCTCCACTCTCTTATTCACCTCTCTTGTGCACTGCTTGTTCTCTGGAATGGTGAACCCCTAGTGTATAAACAACCTTACCTTCACTATCTCTTTCTCTCCTTGCATCTTCACCTTTCCACCTGTCTCCCTCTCACTGTGACACATGAAATGTTGCGCTTGTACTCCTGTTCTTCCTCTTCTCACTGGTGAAAACCTCCACCTCTCCCAGCTCTCTTTCACCTGTTACCTAATCTCACTACACATCACAATTCTTACCGATGATCTGCATGTTTGCGACTCTTCAGACAAGAGGAGGTATGTTTGTGGCCCCCATGTGGCTGAGTTTTAACAAAGCAGAAATATGATGGGTAAAAACAACAGTTGCTATCTTTCGTTGAAATATTTTGGTTACCTTGAGTAACAGGTATTGCACATAGCACATACGTTTATAGTACATACTACTATGATGAGATATTTGTTTGAAACTGGTGGAATATCAAGTTAATTTTTAACCTCCTAAGACCCAAACTCTTCCACGGCATGCATTTTTAATTTCTCTTTGATAGTTGGGAATATTGGGGCCCGATTAACGTAAATACAAAGAATTACCAGATCTTTTTTTTTTTTACCTTATTTTTGTTTTTAAGAAAAATAAGAGCCACATATGAGGATATTCGTTTAAAAATTTGATAGAACAGTAGCAGTATAATGTCCTCGTAAGTGGATATCAGGCCCTTGTAGAGCAAAATTGAGTATTTTGGTCTAAATAACCCAAAATGTGATGTCCACATATGTGGACGCCAGGTCCTAGGAGGTTAAAGGATCCAAACTACCTTTGTGATAACATTCAGTGCAGCTCAGATTTGGGCCCCAACAGTGCAACATGCTCTTTCTAAATTTCATAGGTTGCCTTGCTTTCTGCCCTTATCTTTTACCACTAGCTGTCCAAAAATAAAAAAAAATCCCAAACTGTCACTCTCCTTACCACGCTGTACTGTTACTGGTTGGAAAAAAGCACCAACCACAGGGCCAGCTTTTCTTATGAAGGATCTGCACCGTAGGGTATCTATGCCCAACTGGCGTTGTCGTCACTGAATCAATATTTGGCGCACAGGGGCTGTGACTATTATCTACAGACAAGAATTCAAAAAGAAAGACGCTGGCATTTGAAATTCTGGGAAAGTTATTGTAGGATCATTACTAAGCATACTGGAAAGTGTAAGCTATAGCCTGAAACAAGTCAGAGTTTCGATGTGAAATGAAAAGAGCCTCATGAATCACTACTCTTTAATACTATGTCATTAAAAAAAAGAAAAAAAAGAACTGACATATAAATCACTAGATGTCTGTATTATTCCCAGGGGGCATGTATGCTGTGCACAGTCAGGCTGCTTTTCCCCCCAACATGCCAGTCTGGCAGACTTCACATCTGGATCACTGTTATTATCATAGTCATAACATTCAACAGGGCATGGTATTCCAGGCACAATTATACAACTTCCAAAACTGGAAATCAATTTTGGAAATTAAGTTTATGGGTTGTCTATAAGTACAACATATTTTTAGGCCTAAGAATATGCGATTAACAGACAACAGCACTCAGCATGTCTGTACCACATGTAAAAAGTTGAAATATACCATAAGTATACCTAAACGCAAAGGATGAGTAGCTTAGATATATAGTTACAGTACTGACTCCCATAAGATTCACTATGCAAGTGTAGTATAAGATAAGATTTTATACTGATAATAGGGGAATTAAGTGCTATCTTCTTAACTGTAGCCACATGGGAATATATTGTGAAACAAACTAAAGACAGCTATTATGGATTTATCCTACAACATTAATTAGACAAAATTAACTCCAGAATGGATCTCTCATACGCCAGACAGTCAGACAGTCCAACTACTATATATTACTGTGTGTCATCTAGCAGTGAACACTTTAGCTGTGATTCACCATGACATATCTAAACAGCCACTCTGTCTCTTCTACGCACATACACACACAGACACACAACTACAAAGAACAGTTGTGCTAGCATGTATTCCTGCACAGTTCTTAAAATGGAACAACTGTTCACACTTCATTGCAGTAGCCTCAGCTTATCAAACGCATAATCACCGTCTTTATCTGAGCTACTGATGTGTCACAACAACACAATGGAAGAAATGTTACCATCCAGCATATGAATGTCTGGTCATCTCTGTACAGTGTTTGTACTGTCATCATCATCATCATCATCTTCTTCTTGGCCATGCAAGACCAACAGCAGCCTTAAACGCTCTGTTTCTTACTCACATCATTGGTCTAAACAATTAAAATCAGCCAACGCAACAGTCAATTCAAGTCATACAAAGGTGATGTTGAAAGGCGAGTAAATGAAGGGTTGTGAAGAAAAAAAACCACATTGTGATAAAAGGAAAAGAGTAAACGACAAAGAAAGAATCAAATAAAATAACATCCCAATCCTGATCCTGCCTTATTCCCTGGCTCACTTCCTCTCTTGTTCTGCTCTTTCATTTTCAACTCATTTTGCTGGCTCACTTCTTCCTCCAACACCCCCTCCATTCTTTCTGTCACTCTCTTCCTCCATGAGCAGACAGGCAGAGACAGGGAGACTGTTGTTGTGCTTGCAGTCTGACACTATCAGCTCATAAATCCCTGTCAGCAGCTTGTATGCCTCCTCTCCTCTCTCCCTCCCCGTCTCTTATCCTCCCTCCCTTCACTGGTGGAGAAACAGAAGAACCCAGTGACCTGCCAGTGAAGGTTTGACTGGCACAACCACACACACATTTAGAGAAATATATATAGAGCATATACAGTATATACAGATATATAGATAGTCAGACAGACAAGCAGACAGACAGACATCTCTGATTCTCATGCCTCCCCTCAACTGTCTCTCTTTTGCTAGGTTCCTTCCTCCCTGTCTTTCTTTCCCTCAGGCAATGTTTGCCGGCAGACAGTCGTCACTGACAAGAGCTTCCTGTGGTTAGGGGTAAACACCTGGGTAATGAGGCCATGCTGCACAACAACCCCAAAAAAAGCAAAACAGATTCACAGACCTCACTCACTCTGCCGAGTACTGTAGACTCACAATCGGGTCACGCAGCCACACAGGGTCACACGCGCAGTCACACATGCAAATAAATCTCACGGGAAAACAAGCACAGACATGAACACATTTAAGCACATACACAACCGCACATGCACATAACTGGTTCAGACTGAAAAACAAGAATCTAGACAGAGTGGACATGGATTCAAGAAGGTTCTACTTCTGTGCCGTCACTAGTAATTTGTTCCTCAAATGCAGAAACAAATCCTTGTCTAAGTCATGTCAGCGAAACACTCAGTCAGGATTTTTGACATACTGCAAATGCTCAAACTGAGTGTGAAATGTGAGTGCTGCTGCAGGGAAGAACAGAGCTGCCTGTCTCGACTGCAAAGTCACAAAAGGACTTTTCCACTACAGGCAAGTTATTGGCCCACACCTGAACCTGTGCCAGCTGTCCAAAGTGCTGCCTTTGTCACTCCAGCATTCTTGCAGCCTACAGGAGATGGTACAAGCTGAAGTTTGGTGTGTGGTCACAGGACTGCGCCGACTTTTTTGTGTGTCTGTGTGTGTCTGCTTTCGTGTGACGAACAGACACATCATCACCACTCAAATATAAGTGGCTATCTGTCTAACTGTGAGTTGACTGTAGGGGGAGCAGTAATACATCGTATTTCTGCAAGTTTGTGTCTTGCTTGCTCAGCAAGGGTCAGATAAATTGCTGGTATTTTTTATTACTGACAGATTCTGTTGTTCATGGAGTTCTAGTGGGAAAAAACAGCTCTTTGTCACTAGTTTTTGATGAACCTTGAAAAGAAGGATTCAGTGACCCACCTCTTACACTTTTTCACATATCATATAAGACTAGATAAATAAGTGTGGAGGAGCTGCAACAGAGGAAATTAAATTTTTAAGTATGACAAATGTCCCTGTTCAACATGGGCCATAAGCAAAGACACAAGGACACATCTCTCCAGATTACAACTATTCTCGGAGAATACTGAGCCACTTCATGTATATTTAAAAAAGCTTTGATTTACAGACGTACATTTAAATGCATCCTGGATGGGAAACACAAAAACCCATCACGTGACTGGGTTGGGCAGCAAGCACAGTATATTTGTTTTTCCCCATTCCTCAAATTTTCACTCTTCTTATGAAATTTTTTTTAGATGCACTCATATTCAAAGCTCTGAGGCAAAATAGACAATTTCCCTATCAGCTGTAACCAATACTTCATTTTCATGCCACTCTTGCTTTTTACATTGTGCTTTTATCCAAATTGATTTTGTCACAACAGAATTACATCTTACTGCTCCACTCCTTCAAAATATTGTGCAAGTATCAAAGCCTCAAGAATCTTCCATGTCAAAAGCACTAGAGTGCAAATGATTCACTCAGCAATCATGTTAATCTGTTATCTCTGGACAACAAGGCGCAGCCTGCATCGCATGTCTCATAGAAGTAACAGGGAAGCTTGTGGTGAATCATCAGCCCTACCAGACCCGCACGGTCTTAAGGGTTGTTTTAGTTTTGAGGAGGATTTTTTTTCTTCTTCTTTAATGGTCTTCATGCAAGCTATTTTAGATATGGTTCAACTGAGCAAAAACACCATGTGTATTGTATGGTAGTATCTGGGTTTGCATATGTCTGTACGCGCACGCTTGTGTGGCCCGCATGTCTTTGTGTGCAAAGGAAATGGCTGACAGTGAAAAATGTGACCAATTCTAATTTTAATTGCCGAGTGAAAAAACAGCCTCTGCATTTGTGGGTTCTGTCCAGACGAACAGAGGAGAAGGGGTTTAAGCATGAAAGCGTATTCCTTATCACAATTAAAAAGTGTTTTAACATACCGGCATCCCTTTGAAGTTAGATTAGCAGCAATATTGGAAAGATCAGCCCCAGTCTTAAACAATGGAAATTGAATAGGGGAAAAGAAATGACTTAACAGAGCCAAAGGTAAAGTTTTCCTTTTGTTGTTCATCTTTTTTCCCCCCTTGAATTTGGCCTCATACAATTTTCTGATAGATTCTCTTGTGCAGAGCGACTCTTTTTTTTAGTATTATTATTATTTCTTTTTTAACATAAAATTGCTTCATGTCCAACCTAGGGAATGGATTGAGGGGACTACGGCAGAAAAGAAGAAAACTTAATTTGACAGCGCAATTTGAATTGGAGATCCTTCTTAGAGGATTTGAAGCCTGGAGTGACAGACGAAATTGTACATAGGCACAGCTAAGAACTGTAATCACAATAAGCCCATATAAGCGTCTTGATTGTAAGGGTCTGAAGCCACACGGTGGCTGTCTTGTGGAGCAGCAATCTACATGCAGAAGCGCACAGTGGAAGACACACACATCCACATGCAAATACACAACAACAGCTATGGACTTACAAGTCAAAATTCCCATCAATACAAGAAAAAGCCACTCCTTACATAAAGACATGGAAACCCATGGGAAGACACAAGGGCTGGAACTGAGAACAGTGTAATTAGAGAGAAAGAAAGATAGGTTAACCCCAGGCACAGAGGCAGAAAGGGAGAGAGAGGGGAGGAGAGGTGACAAGGTTGAGAAAAGTCCCATGTTAACCTGGAAGAAGGAAAACAGGAACAAACGGGGCAAAGAGGAGCAAACAGCTGCTAAGGATTTACATGCCGTAAATTATTTATGCAATCAGCTGTAGGAGCACAGAAACAGAGAGAGAGAGAGGGAGGCAACAGAAAAAATAATCAGGGTTGCAGAAAAGAGAACAGGGGGTGAAAACTGAGAGATGTAGACACGTCTTTGCCGTAAGTTACAACAAAGAGAAAATGTTACACTTACCCTCACACTCCTGTCTAGACACAGCAATCTTTCCCACTGAGCCTCACTCTGACACACCTGAAACAAACAGTAACACTGTTTACCTACACATGTTACTCTCCAGTTACACGCAAAGCTTCAGATGTCTGCTTCCAGGCTATGAATGACAATGCGGCGTGCTACACGAGATGATTTTACGTCATCTCTGAGACTGTTCTCTGTGAGTTTGAAGTCTAAACGCCAAACCTTTATTCATCTTTCTGAAGATTTCTTTACATGTCTCCTAATGCATGTGAGTGCCTATGATCTATATCACAAGCCAAACAACCCATGAAACAAACTCACTGTGCCTCTACTGAACTGTGCATTATTAATTTCAACCTACAGCAGGTTCAGTTCAATTCAATTTTATTTATGTATTTTTTTAAATTTGCTGTATGTTCCTACTGCAGGTGCTAATGATTCACTGTTACTGTGCTGCCGTGTATGTTTAACATTATTTACACACTGACATCACTTCAATAAGAACATCTGCTCCGCATTTACATAAAACACTGTAGTTAGCTTCCAGTCTTGACATTTTTTACACAGTATATATATTTAGCTTAAATTACAGCAGCTAAACAGCAGCTAAACACTGTAGCTTATACAGTCCTTAAATATTCTGGTTAAAAACAGCCTTGTAGGCTGTATTCTGAGTGTTATTGTGTGAGAATAATAATACAGTGTGTAAAACCCAATAGCAAAAGTATGAAGAGAAACATACATCAAATTTAATTTCAAGAGCCTCTTAACTTTCTGCAGGACTCAGAATGAAATATTTACTAAAAGAAACTGAAAAGGACAAACTGTATATATTTACTTTTTTTTTTTGCAGTGATTTAGTAATTTAATGACACTGTCAGTCTTAAACTACAGCACTGCCTATTAAATTCTACCATAAACTATGGCACATAGAGTACATCTGAAATACCACATAAAACTAACAGCATCACTGTACCCATTGCACTCGCTCTGTGCTCACTCGTACACTGTGACGCCCAGGAGCTTTTTGAGAAGATGCTGATCCACAAATTCCCATGGGTTTGGTGGAGTGGACCGGAGCCAGTGGAAATTGCAAACAAACACTGGGGCTGCTGTGTCTGATGTGAGCAAAAACAACCTCAAAGACCTCATTCACACATCACATCTGTGCGTGTGCGATTGTGCATGTGTTGGGAAGTTCATAAAGAAAAGTGGGAAAAAATGGGAGCAACTGTGCGTGTATCTGTGTGTGTGTGCGTGCGCGTGTGTGTTTATGAATCTGAGGAGTTGAAGGCTGTTCAAAGGCATTACAGCATTAAATTTATGAAGGCATTCACAGTAACACTGGCAATAAAATAGATCTCAGCTCCTAGCAAAAGTTCATATTAGGTCTTACTGTGGCAGGAGAGAGTGGGAAGGAGGAAGAGCGCGCGCGTGTGTGTGTGTGTGTGTGTGTGTGTGTGTGTGTGTGTGAGCGAGGGTGGAGGAAAAAGAATGAGGTGACACTAAAGGTCAAGAGAGAAACGGAGAGATGCTGAGAGGAAAACAAAAAAAAGCCAGAAGAGCAGAGGAACACAAACAGAAAACAATTTCAAAATGGGAAGAGAGAAACTTCTCATGACAGGCCAATGGCAACAAAGACCAGAACCAAAAATGCAAAGAGCAGCAGAGAGAAGCAGCAGCTCTCTCCTCATGTCTCTCCACCCCATGGTTTCAGTGGCCAAGTCCACACCACATTATGGGTCCCTAGGTTTTTTATAATGGCTGGGTGTGTTCTGATTCCCCGCTAAAGTCATTGCTAGTTAAATTCCATTCCTAATTAGTGGTGGGAATGAGAATGGAAAGGGGAATTGGTTGAGGAACAATTAAACATCACTGAGGGAAAACAATATTTTCAGACAACATTTGACACCACGAGCCGTGACAGTGTGGGACGAAGCATACGTGCCCACATGGCAGATTTTTCTTCCCCCCCAATCAATTTCAGACTTTTGAGCCAATTCATGTATAGCTGCAGTTAATACAACCTGCAGATATACATTTGTTGTTGACAGAATACATGGCGGGCAGTGCTGGGCAGCAACTAATTACATGTAATGCCAGAGTACTGCGGTCAGTTTTATACTGCATGTAGGCCCTGCAGAGCTTAACTAAGAACTATTAAGAACTGTTTTGTTATTTCAGGCTAAATCCTGAAACTGCAAATATGGCAGGAGGCCTGCCTATTCCACATCAACTGTGTTGTTGCACTGATGTGAACGGCAAACATTTGAGGTTCACAGCAGTTTCAAGGACTTTGCTGGCAGTGATATCTGCTTGACTGTTGAGTGCTCCTCTGGGGTTTACATTTACTAATCAAAATTTCTGTTTTGAGTTGAGTCTTTGTGATGATATTTATGCTTAATTTCTATGAATATACACATCAAAAGGGGCAAAAGGACGCAAATTTGAAAAATCAATAGCTAGTATAATAAGCGCTGACATTATGGGTTTACTACATTAACCATAGAAGACAGCACTATGGCATTTGTGTGGGATCACTCTGAACAAAATATCCAACAAGTTTTGACTCAATAAACACATTTATTGCAATAACATTTGGAGACTGAGAAATTTAAAATAAGTGAGCAGTAGCTTCAAGGCACAACTTCAAAAATCCAAAGTGTCCAAAACACGATTTATAATAAAAGTGCAGTTTTGTGGAGAATAAATGGCATCCCCGTTTGTTAAAATAGCAAGTTTTTTGTTAGCACTTTTACTCAAGCACTTGTAGTGAATGACACACACTCACAGACCCTGATGCACCTGATGTAAAGTGTTAATATGAGAGAATTAAGAATGACTATCTCAATGTTGTGATGTTTTAATAGCGTGCAGGTGACTAACATCTCGCTGATGGGAATTTGTTAAAGACAGACGTTTAATGAGCAGCTCTTGAGATTAAATGTGCCAGGATAAATAAGACTGGAATAAAACTTGGATATTATTGTCAATACGTGCTCAGTGAAAATATCTTGTTATGCCAAAAAAATACGATTCAGAGAAACCAATAGATTTTGTATGGACATTTTTGACTAGCATTACTTGTAGGGAAACCCAGCATTATGTTACGAACTCCAAATTTTTGGAGTGGTGAGCGGATTCTCCCACTTTAGGACAAAACACAGGCTCACATTCTTTGCTGTTTCCTTTTTTTTAATGAGTCACTCACTAACCCTACCTCCTCATAATGCTGACCACATAAATAAGCTCTCCCAAAAACCTCACAAAGCTCACATTAAAGTGTCATTTTTCAACTTTTTTAAACGTACTAAACAGTAATAGTTTGTTTTTCAGATTTCCATCACCACTGCTGCAAATTGCAAATGTGACCTTTTTTTTTCTGGAATGACACCGGAATAAATTATTTCAGTAAAGCACTCAGGCAGATTTTAGCTGCTCAGCTCTGTGCTTCACTCAAGCTTGTGGCTCTGGATACATGTGTGCAAGGGTGCAGAAAGCAAAGCTGCACATAGTGTAAATCTCACAAGATATATCATAACATTCGAGTCTGTGAAACTGTCAGTTCAAAGGCTCTTGGTCTCTAGCATATGGAGCAGTGATTTGGCAATTTAGACTATTAAATATAGACTAACAGTGAGCTAATGTTTGTCTATGTAACATGATCAAAGCTGCAAACATGCAATTATGAAATGAATGGCCTCCCTATCTCTACTGTTGCTTTACTCTTTTAATTTGCCCATAAAGCATTTTCAAGCAAACATTGTCACGATAGAAGTCAAATGTGCTGACTAGCAGCATAGCCATGAAGTCAACACACTGGAATGCACTTCCATCCCCACAGGAGCGAAAGGATGAATTAATATTTGATTGACATGTAGTGAGCCAAGCTACCGAGTGTAAAATGTGCGCTGAAAGCAAGGAAGAAAGTACAGAGAGAGGGGCATTATGATTGATTGACTGTACCTACTGAGCAATTAGAGTGAGATTAATTGGTTAGTTGTCACTTCATTTGACTGTTATTAGCCAAGGAACTCCTCTCTGGAAACCATTTAAATGCGAGATAATTGACATAATTGTTCTGCAGACGACAGAACTCCTGTGGTACTACAGAACACAGTCTGTGGGCTAACAAGAGAAAAAGATTAAAGGAAGAAAAGAAGGTTGAAAATCAGGTAAAATCAAGAGGAAGAAACAATATTTTGTACTCGTGAATATTTTAACAACATTTGAGGTCAAGGAAACTTACTGCTTGTGTGTTTTGAGCTGTGGATTTGCCAGGATATGTCTCCACACTAAGTGAAATTCTTCTTTATTACATATACATGCACACGCACTCACACACATACACACACGCCAACACAAGGTCGGACTTAAAAATTAGAGCAGGGTATGAGGAGACCTTGTGAAGCTCCCGTTAACCAAATAAAAAGTGTATAGGATTGATGATCCTATCAAAGCACTAACACATAACACATCGTATATTCCTAAACTCATTATCCATTAATGATCTTCCTAACTCATTCACTTTAAATGTTCATAATGTTTTTTAATATTTAAATATACTGCAATTATTGAATCGTTGTATAATTAATCCAATGCCTACTGCAACTGAGCCCATATTTTTAAACCTCTGTCTTTCCCGTTTTCACTTGTGCGATAAAACATTCAAACATTTACACTCTGCATATCAGTGTGGGAGATCAAGAGAAGTCAGCCTGCAAAATAAGCTGTCACGAAGATTAGATGTCATCAGTAGCATTGAGGGTCTAGCCCAATATTGCAATAGCATTCATTAAAAAAAGACATCAAATTACATTCCAAAGTGACAGTAAACTATGCGTTTTTCAGAGATATGATACAAACCAATTAAGGATAGTGTCTGTTTTCACAGTTTTAGGATTATCAGTGTGATAACTAAGCAGAAGACTAGAAGATGCATTGAGATATATCCGGCACTGGAGGATCTTCCACGGGTTCAAACAAGGATGGTTCTGCACTGCATCTGCAGCCAAATCTGTTTCTTGTGTCCAATTCATAATGAACTGTTTGGA